TCAGCTGAGCCCGGACGCGCGCCGGCGTGCCAGGGCCGCTCTGGCACCGGAGAGCGGGTGGCGTGCGTGCACGTTACTGTACAGCTCTTGTGTGCTGCCGCCGTTTGTTGCCGCTGTTCTGTGTGGACGTCTCGCGCTTCCTTGTTTGTCACACTCTCCCCGTACGCATTCCTATCCCTTCACCTCTTCTCATTCCGGCTTTGATTTTTGTTTCTTGATCCTCTGTATCGTCTTGCGTCACCCCGTCAGGCGCTGCCTCCGCACCCTCGGTGCTGTCAGCGCCATTTTTTGGACAACTTTGTCGCTCGATCAGGCGGACGTCCGTTCGTCAACACGCCTAGGGCGCGCGCCGCCGCCTCCGCTTGCGCTCGGTCGGAAAGTTGGCCGTCCGTCCGCGGCCGGTCCCCAAGTCAACAACGCCGAGCCCGCACCAGTGGCCGCGTAACGCAGGAGGCTGCGTTGGCCGCGCATAGACGGTCCGAGTTGCACCGCGTGTCGGCCGCGCAGAGGCCGCTCGAGTTGCATCGCACATCGGCCGCGTAGAGACGGCCCGAGCTGTGCCGCGCGTCGGCCGCGCAGAGGCGGCCCGAGTTGTATCGCACATCGGTCGCACAGAGACGGTCCGAGTTGTACCGCACGTCGGTCGCACAGAGGCGGCTCGAGTTGTACCGCTCATCGGTCGCACAGAGACGGCCCGAATTGCACCGTGCCCCCGGCCGCTGGAGGTGCTCCGGTTCCGTTTTTGAACGCACGGAGAGCGAGGCAGACGCGGCCTGTTCGCATCACTTGACCCGCGCTGCCGCGCCGCTGAAGGACTGACCTGGGGCCTGGTACGCTTTGTTCTGCGGCGCAGTAAGGGCCGACCGACACTGAAAATGTCACCAAACAAAGGGCTCCGCCGCACCATAATGGTGAAGGGAAGCGTAAGCTGACGTCGCGTGCTTCAGCATTTAAGTGGTACCAGACCTTTGGTCCCGTACCCTTTTGAAGGACACGCGGCTTATGCATCCAGGCAAATAAACGTCACAAATCATTTACGATGTAGATGTTAAAACCAGTTCACAATATCCCTAATCGCTGCAAACTGATCGATGATTGCTGAGCACACATTCCATACCCTGATCTGCTAAGGTCAGAAGCGTTACGCGCGTCTCAGGTATTTGTCACCGCGCGGCATGACGCGCTAGTGACGACGCGTGACCTGAACTGAGTCCTCTCGGTCACACAGTTGTGCCGCGCCCCTTGTACCACTTCTTTCGAGTGGCCATGCCGGCCGTGAAAGGTGCCATTCCCACCTGGTTGCGGCGGTGTGGCTCGTAGCGGAAGATTTGTTCTCCTGTTTGACCTAGCCGGGTGGCCTGCGCTGCCCGCCTGCGGGCACTGCCACTCAGGGGTTCATCCAGAACGCTTGCCTTGCTGGTGTCCTGATTTGCGGACCCCTCGAACTCCGTCTCACTCACCTCAACCTCTTTACTTTCTACCTCAGCTGCCTTTAGCTTTGCTCTTGACTTCAAGAAGCGTTTAAAACAAACTCGCGTCAGTAAAAGTTGCCCTAATTTTCTTCCAACTCCAGAGCTGTCTTATTTTTTACCCGACTTTGGCCATCTTGAAGGAGGCGTGGCCACGTCCCACCCCCAATTGATTCCACTCAGCGGAAAGAGGCTTCATGCTGGCGAGAGACGGTCGGCGTGCACGTAGAGGCTTCCGGGCTTGCGGTGCCTAGCAGGCGCGGTTCTCACTACAGTACATTGCATCGAAACGGTGCATCACAAAGGCGGCTAGGCCTCAGAGCTGGCGTGTTGTCATCTCCGCCAGCAGCCGGTGTTTACGTGACGTGCTTATTGCGTCGGACGTTCGTTCCACTCGAGCAGGAAAAAGGGCGCCGGAGAGGCATGCTTAAACCACCAAACACATCAACAGTTCTGGGACCTGACGGATCGCAGACAGGCGGCAGGCGGATGAAAAATAATGGAGACGACGCGGTCGAGATCCCCTTTGTTGGCGCTGTTTTCGCCGCGGCCGGACTGAGCGAATTCGGGACCGCGAGCGGCCGCCGCCGGACGGCAGACCGTCTGCGAACCGGACGTTGTCCCGGCGCGGCAGCGGCGCTCCTGGCGCGGACGCGTCGTAATCACAGACAAAGCTAGGACACGATGTGGTTACTGGCCTCTTGTTTCTCCGGCTGAAGCTGTGCAGTGTGCCAGCTTGTGCTCAAGAAGCAGACGCGATAACGGCTCTGGTTCCTCCCATGGGGCTGCACCTTTTGACTGTCGTAAGCCTCGCTAGCCCTGAGCTGACCTGGCGGACGGATGCGCCGGCGGTGCCCCGCGCGTCGCACCCGCGTCTCCAGCATGGCCGTGCTTCTGAGAGGCGACGGGCGATCACCTCCGGCGTTGAGCCGGCGGGCCACCAGCCGGGCTGCAGCCGAGCGGCCAGCTGCTGCCGGCGCACCCCAGTGACGTCACCGGGTCACGGGGTGTCGCGCCGGGTATTGACCACCGGAGGTGACAGACCGGGTGGAGCGCGCCGCCGCTGCCGCCCTTCGAACGGCGCCCGGCGCTTCCCAGGCACACCGGTCATGTGACCCCCCGCTGGCGCGAGCGGTGAGACTCGTCACGCCGCCGAAGCGCGGCTGGTGTGTTACCACCATAGGTTATCTCCGTTGTCTTATCGCTGGTACTCGCATGCGTTTCTGTGGGCTTACACAAATGCCATCCCTCGGCCCAAGGTGTAACCTGCAGGGACTTCCGTGGCGTCTGCTCCGGGTGGCCATTTGTGATTAGTTTCCTTTCGAATGACTATCTCATGGTCGTGCATCGACGCTGGGGTCATCCCTGGATTGGTTATCGGCATTATCATATCTCTCTCGTTACCGCTTACTATAATTGCCGCATAGTGCTACCGGAGGCGCGGCTGAGACAAGCTTCCAACAGCCCAAGAATGCTGAAGATCATGGAGACTAGCCGCTTCTTGAAAACAACGCCACAACACCACGACTTGTTCAGGTTTTGACGTGCTAGACAGCTTCTCAGGCACTGAGACACGTTTAATATGGCTGTTATGAACGGTAAAGCAATCATTCCGCATTTCGACGATCCAGGCAGTGGATAAGCTGGGCTGAAGTGGCTCCGGCGCAGACGTCCGCTGCTGTGAGCCAGGCTTCGAGAGGCCACCGCAGCCTTCCACCGCTCAGGCACACGTACCTGCCTTTTTCAGGTGTCGTGCCGCGCCCTGGCTGGGCGCTGCAGGACATGTAATACTCGGTATATGCGTGGTGTACAGGCGTCGTTGTTCGGAGAAAGCAGGCGTTACGCTGCTGATGCTGGGCACTATTATAGTGATGTATGGAGCAGGGGCTTAGTTTCCTATTCAGTTGGGGAAGGCTTTGCCCCCCCCCCCGTTTTTTCACTGTTCAGTTCCCCAAACTCATTCAAAATACATCGTTATTAACGATTCTCACGCATATAACTTATGTGAGGAGATTATCTTAATTCAGTTGAGCACATAGTATTCTTTACATTTCGCAAGCACTGTACCATCTTAGACTGCGGACTGCGATTATCATCTGCTGGGATCATGAGTGTGAAGGTCATTCAGTTCAGCTATCGCAATAAAAGCATTGGGCACGTTATCATGATGAAAACCAAGTCAACCGAGAACATCGCAAAAATGCGCCTTCGTGCAATGATATGCAAGCGAAAATGAGGGCGGTCAGCACTCTTACCCGCTGGACGTGGGGAACAAAGCTAGAGCACCATTAGCACTGCCTTACAACCGATGGCGAGACGCATGGAGGTGTTAATGACGTCCCAGCAACCGATCCGGGAAGTCTTCCCCTCTGGTAGTTGATTTCTCACCACAACACACAGAAGTTGCTTAACACTTGTTTTCGCCTGGCCGGCGTGGTCTGCAGCGAACCGGCGGCCCGTGCGAGCGGTAGCTCGGAGAGTCGTGACCCGCCTTGCAGCGAAGTTCTGCAGTACAGTCTAAACTGAGCTCGTATCGACGGTGCAGTCGGCTGGTGTTATGGTTTTCTGAATGGTCGTTTCAAGTGGACGGAAAGCTTGGGGAAATGTCCGACGTAGACGTGGGAGCAGGTGGGAGGGGACGCGAGGGGGGGGGGGCGTCCCATTTTTGTGAAGATGGAGAAAATCAACTCGGTTGTGATACATGGAAGGAATGCATTCGAAAAGAGATTTGGCCCGCCCAAGGTTTGGTACGTTCTAGGACCCTTGCCTCCGAACAATATTTGATGGACTTTACGTCCGTAGACAAAAGATCAGTTTCTTCAGTCTCCAACAGTATGAATATGATGCTAAATTGGAATGGGTGTGGTGAGCACTAATGTTGGCAAATCAGCGTTAAGTACACACACGGGGTATACATACTAAACCATCAGCTATAGCGTGCATTGATAAATACTCCATCATTAATGCCACCTGTCTGAAAGAAGGGCGTGGAGACGAGGTGACTGGTTCTTCTTTGAGGGAGCTCGCTGTGCTTGACGTACATCATCGCGTCTGGATAGAGGGGGTGTGGTATACTGTTCCACCTCAAACAATACAGGGCATGGTCAGTAACTGATTTATAGCCACCCTCCAGCCCGAGATTGTGCAGCCAATCGAAATGCAGGTATTACGAACGAAATGGCATGCAACGTTTCTGATGTTCCGTGCTGCGAAGTTTGATGATGTCAGTGATCAGCGTTATCAATAGTTCGGCCTTGTTTTGTTCATCATGCTGTCGTCATACGTAGAACAATTACCGGGTAATCACGTGGCATTCAATCATGTGGACTTGTGCCGCTGTGACAATGTGTCCAATCTATTCCAGAAATAATGTTTTCACCCAAGGACTTTTAAAACTGCTTGTCCCGTTGGCCGCATAACTGATGTCTTGCCACACAGTTGGCCTCCGTCGCCTTCAAAATGCGTTTGACGCTTGAAGAAACACCGGACGGTATTACAACCAATTTGTATTGATTGAAAAACAAGATTCGATCATATTTCACAACAAATGAATGACAAAATTGAAAGTGATTTGTAACAATGATAAGACGAAGCATTGGTATGTACAAGGATCGCCTCAAACGCGCCACTTTCGTCACGGGCGCCGCCCGCCCGTCGCCTTACCGACAGACCATACCTCAGTGCAGTGCCGCGCGCTCTAATGGAAAAATTCGCGCGCGACCACTTTTGATTGGTGTAAGATCGGCGGCGCAGACAAATGCGGCCGGTGCCAGAGAGGAGCACCGCTATGCCGCTAGACGTCTCCGAACTGGAGCGACCCACGCGTCCGTATCACAACCGGCAGGGCTCGCAGCCACCGCTGCCCCAGGCGGACGCTCAGCTGATCAGGCGGCCAGTCACCGCCTCCGGCGTCAGGCCTCGCGCCCGCCGTAAGCCTCAGGCAACTCGGCTGGCCACAGGCGCCGCTGGCCCGCCCTCCAGCGGCGCACTTGCCGCGGCGGCGAGGCACGGCGCCCTGGGAACCCGGACGGATCGGAGTCTCTGCTCGTCCGGCGCCGTTCTCCCCCTCTTGCGGACTGGCCGCAGCGGCCGCGGCCGACCGGGCGAGCCACTCCCGGGCCGTCGTTATGAGCAGTCCGAGACTGATTGTCGCAGCAGTGTGCAGACTGGCGCCGTCGGCCGGCTCAGCTTGACCCAACTGCGCACGTGTACCGGCTCCGCCCGCTGAGCAGGGGCCGGACCCGTCTCCCGCCCGTCCCCCACAGCTCGCGAGCCCCGCTCTCCGACGCCAGGCTCGCAGCGTTTCACTGATGACGCAGCAAGTCGTGCGGACGGACCGTCACTGTCACTCTGCATTATCCTGCACCCGCCCAGCCCTCCCCCACCAACGGTCGGGCGGGGGGTCGGCGGTACCGCCTCACAGCGACGGAGATGCGGGCTACCCTTGCTCAGACGGACGAGGCGTCGCCGTCCGACCGTGACAAACAGCCTCCCAGCTCACGACCAGCCGCCGACTATTCAAAACAGACCGGCCGCTGCCGTCGCCTTGGCGGCGCAGCGCGGGCAAGCGTCGGTCGCTGGCGGTAACCGGTGACGTCACCAGACGCCGAGCGGTGGGCTGGGCTCAACCTCGGCTGGGGCTGCGACCAGCGGCAGCCGGCGAGTCAGTCTCGCGGTGAGCGCCGGGTCACGACGACGGAGGGTTACGACCCCGAGCAGGTGCGGTGCGGGACCATGGGGCGGCAGTCGGTCGGCGGCGCCCAGCTGGAGCGTCACCGTCGGCCGGCCGCGTCTGTGTACTAACGCAGAGCAGGTCACAACCGGGCCGTGGCGCGCGCTCACTGCCCGGTGCGCGGCGCTCTTCTGCGCTGCGCGTTCGCCGGAGAAGCAGCGCCAGCGTGGGCGTGCAGCGTCTGATCCAAAGCCCTGTGGGGTACGAGCGCTCTCGCTCGTGCTCCGAGCCCACGATCGGCCGGACGAATAGCCGAATGAGTGAACCGTTTTGATCCAGCGGCCTCGGCCTATCTGATGGCCTCTCGCCACGTCGTTTCTGTTTCAAGGGCACTGGGGCGCATCCATGCCAAATCGAAGTCGCCTGGAGGCGGCCGCCGCGGCGATCCAATTGCGGCGCGGCGTCGGCCAGGCCTCGTAAGGCCGCCCATCACATCCAACTCCGATCATTGTCCGGCGCGCCGGCGGTGGCGAACGGCGCTCCAGTGCCGCCCGGCGCCGCCGTTCCAAGAGCGGTGCCTTGAGTGCTCCGGTAGCGGCGGCTCTGGCCTGCCCCAGGCGCGTGCAACCTGGCGACTGATCACCCCAGTGGAGGAACGACCGAACAGCAGGCACCGCACGAGATTGTGACGCGTTGCGAAGGTGGACTGTGATCACCTCAGTCCAACGAGAACCCGACGCCGGGAAGCTGACGCTTCGATGGGTGGCTCTCACATTGTCACATTGTCATGAACTGGACCGCGGAAGTCAAGGTATTGATATCTGTGGAAGCTGTGCCAAGGAAGTACAGACGTAAATGCCTTCCGATTCATGCTGAGCCCATGGACCGCGAGGCCCCGATGTCTTCCTCTGGGACCCGCGCCGTTGTCACGAGACGATGGTGTCTGCCCGTTCGAACTGCGTCAGTGACGCCCAGATATCATCATATTAGCCGGGTCTACCCAAACCGGATCTGCCCAAACCGGGTCTGCCCACACTGGATCTGCCAACATCAGGTCTGCCCAGATCAGGTCTGCCCAGACCGGGTCTGCCCACACCGGATCTACCCACACCGGATCTGCCCAAACCGGGTCTGCCCACGCCGGATCTGCCCAGACTGGATCTGCCCACGCCGGATCTGCCCTGACCGAGATCTGCCCAAACCGGATCTGCCCAGACCGGGTCTGCCCACGCCGGATTTGCCAGTCATGCAGATGCGCTCGGACCTCCCGTCCAGGTGGCCGGCGCGCGCCGCCGCCCACAACCCGGGGCTCAGATAGCAGACTCCTGGTTCTTCTCGTTGTCCTCGCTGTTGCTGCCGACCGAACTGCCGCCGCAGATCTGCATCTCGATTTCGGCCAGCCGGTGCTCCACCTCCCACTGCTGCTGGCTCAGCTTGACGCTCATGGAGTGGTTCTCGCCCTCGAGCTCGGTCAGCCGCTCGCGCAGCCGCCGGATCTCGGCCATCAGCAGATCCTGTGGCGCGTCACGCGACAGCTGGCTCGGGCTGCACGGCCGGCTGCACGGCCGGTGGTAGGACGGACTGGCGCTTAGTGGCAGAGGACCTGCCGGACGCGGTCAGATGAGTCAATAGGGTGGGGGGGGGGGGGGGGCGGATTGGCGCTCAGTGGCAAAGGACCTGCCGAAAGCAACAGACGAGACAGTAGGGGACGGACTGGTGCTTGGTGGCAGAGGACCTGCCAGACACGGTTAGGTGAGTCAGTAGGGTGTGGGGGGGGGGGGGGGGGGCGGACTGACGTTCAGTGGCAGAGGACCTGCTGAACACAACCGGCGAGGCAGTAGGGGGACGGGCTGGTGTTTGGTGGCAGAGGACCTGTCAGGCACGGTCAGGGGAGTCAGGAGGGGGTCGGATCCGCGCTCAATGGCGGAGGACCTGCCGGACACGGTCGGTCAGGGTAATCAGTAGGGAGCGGAAGTCAATGAAGCACACATACGTAAATGTGGATACGTAGGACCCCGATGGGCTTTTTGGAGCATTCGACACAAGTATTGTGAAGAGGGAAGGATGTAGCCACAGTCCAACGCTTAGATATATGCATTTAGAGCCGAAACGATGCATGAATAATGTGAACCACTGGAATGGACTCCCGCACGCCGTGGTGCTCGATACTTTGCACCAGGAAAGCTAGGTAATATAGACTGCGTGCGAGAGAACACTGCGTTCCGTGCGTGCGACATGATGATTTTGAGTGAACTCTCGTAAAGTGACGGTTATGGAAATAAAAGTAAAGCAAAGGCAATGTGAAATCAAAGAGCAGAGTTTAGGGAATGCTTTTGTCGCACGTCACATTTTCGCACGAGTGTACACTTCAAGCAAGCCGCAAAGCAGGGAATACCGGGGACGTCTTGTGGTACACGTCTCTGGAATTCAGCGTTGCGCACATCAGTTACCTCATTCAATCAACAAATTCACCTATACTTGGGTGCAAAAAGCAGGAATGCTGCCCCCAGCACTTGGCACGCCTTTTCAGCTCAGTTGCTAAGTCAAGTGAGCAGCGTGGCTAAGTGGCATTCGCTCCCAAGCGTCTACGGGCGCTGTCGCTCAAGTATTCCTGCGGGAACCCCCTGCACTTAACAAAGACAACGACTAAGCTAGTCTGATTGTAAGACATCTGTAATTAGTCTAATCAACCCAATTCATTCTAGCTACAACCCCCTCAAGGGATAACATTCACCTAAGGTAATTAGTCCACTGAACTTCGCCCCATTCAACGTGTCACTCAGATGGATTCCGCGGAGGCGACTAGCCTGGAAATAATTATTTCCCGTTCCCGGGCGTTCTGTCTGTTTCCAGCCAATTCAGACTGGATGGGCAGAGCGGATGCTAATGGTGACGTGATGCTCTTTCTCATTGCAGCGGAAGGAGGATACAGCGAGGGAGAGAGAGAGGAGAGAGAGAGAGAGAGAGAGATGAGAGAAGAGAGAGAGGAGAGCGAGAGAGAGAGAGAGAGAGAGGAGAGAGAGAGAGATGAGAGAGAGAGAGAGAGAGGAGAGAGAGAGAGAGAGAGAGAGAGAGAGAGAGAGAGAGAGAGAGAGAGAGAGGGGATGGAGGGGAGAGGGAGCAGCTATGGGTGCCATGGACTTCACCATCTGTCAGACGGCGGATGTCATTTCGTGCTCACCTGTGTATGACCGGGAGTCGTCAAAGCCCTGGAAGAAGTGGCGGTCGCAAGTGGAGGCTGGTGACGCCTCGAGCGTGCTGGGCGTCAGACGCATGCCCCGGCCGAACGCTGGCGATGGCTGCGGCGACACCGCCCCAGGCGACGCACCTGAACAGAACCGATCAGACCGTCACGCACAGCTCATCCTGGTCTGACGGCACGCAGCTCCCCACGGCATGGGACGCTCCGCCTCATCAAGTTCTTGGAGCATGTCGTGCTGCTACTGACCGGCGTGTTGCTAAGTGCCGTGCTCCGTAAATGCTGCAAGGAAACGGTTAAGCAGATGGGATATGGGGGGACCAGTTTTGAGCATCCAGTTAATGTCTTCTTCCTGTTTTCGTCTTTGCATTTATGTTTAGTCGATTGCGGTGTGCTGACTCTGACTCTCGCTTCACTGGTCTTTTACGACAATTTACAACAGCATGCGCTGCGAGCAGTGGGGAACATGACAGAGGCTTCCTGAAAATCGTAAGCCTAATGCCGCGATTTAGCATTTATCCGTCTCCGCATTACAATTACGTTCAGAGTTTCGGCGACTTTCATGCCTATGGGTAAGGCAAAATGTGGACGTGCCAGCAGACTGCACTTTTTCCTGTGCCCAGCATGCCTTCAGTCCGGTCCTTGAACTGCGAGAAACGGCATGCGGGAGACAAATCACCGACAAATGTCCGGCCGGGTGAACGCAATACGCCACCAACAAGTCCCGCACGAGGCCCACGAAATACCACCGATAAGTCCCGCACGAGGCCCACGAAATACCACCGACAAGTCCCGCACGAGGCCCACGAAATGCCACAGACAAGTCCCGCACGAGGCCTACGAAATACCACCGACAAGTCGCGCATGAGGCCTACGAAATACCACCGACGAGTCGCGCACGAGGCCTACGAAATGCCACCGACAAGTCCCGCACGGGGCCCACGAAATACCACCGACAAGCCCCGCACGAGGCCCACGAAATGCCACCGACAAGTCCCGCACGAGGCCCACGAAATGCCACGTCGACTTCGCCAGCACACGAGGCAGAAAGAAGGCTGACAACCCGTTTTGTGGACGGGCGCGGGATATTCAGTCAGATGGAGTGCGAGAGGATTGCGACACAGCAACTAAATAGAATTTCGCCTCCGACGTGACGTTAAGGCGTCCTCGACTGCCTCGCTGGCGACAGCTATGCCTGAAAGGTGACGGGTGATCTGGAGCCGGAGCGCTGTGAACGGGCACATCCGTCCGCGCGGAGAGCAGGGGGAGAGAGCGTCCGCAGCGTTCGACGGCGCCCTGGATCGATGACAGGCTGAGATCACCCACCAAATAGCGACGATACACAGTCCGCGGAGGCACCTAACCCTACGCTTTAACGTTTCTGTGTCATTCGGCGGCTACGGCGGCCGCGTGAATTTCAGGATCGTAGATGCCCGACAGCCGTGGAGTAATTCTACATCAGGGTCGCATCCAAGAGCAATCTCTTGAAAGCTGTCGATGGGAAGGAACGAGATGGCTGAAGAGCTATTAGCTCAAACCTAAACCTGAGCCAGAGGCCGCGAGCGTTCAGCTCAGCACCCCGAGTCCGTGACCTTGCGGCAAGGTCAACGATCGAGAGCCGCAGCCAAGACGATTACGGTTGATAGCACGTCGTGCTTCCACTTGAGTTATGAATACCTCAGACGGCCATGCGGCCACTACATCAGGCGGATTGGGCGCGGGCTGACGGCTGGGCTCCCCGGCGGCTCCTCGTGAGGGCACCGACACCATCAGTACCCCGGCGACTGAGCGTAAGGGCACCAACACATCAGCACCCCGGCAGCCCCTTGTGAGGGCACCGCCACAATCAGCACCCCAGCAGCCCCTCGTGAGGACACCGTCACAATCAGCTCCCCGTTGGCCCCTCGTGAGGGCACCGTCACAATCAGCACCCCGGCGGCCACTTGTGAGGGCACCGTCACAATCAGCACCCCGGCGGCCACTTGTGAGGGCACCGTCACAATCAGCACCCCGGCAGCCCCTCGTGAGGACACCGTCACAATCAGCTCCCCGTTGGCCCCTCGTGAGGGCACCGTCACAATCAGCACCCCGGCAGCCCCTTGTGAGGGCACCGCCACAATCAGCACCCCAGCAGCCCCTCGTGAGGACACCGTCACAATCAGCTCCCCGTTGGCCCCTCGTGAGGGCACCGTCACAATCAGCACCCCGGCGGCCACTTGTGAGGGCACCGTCACAATCAGCACCCCGGCGGCCACTTGTGAGGGCACCGTCACAATCAGCACCCCGGCAGCCCCTCGTGAGGACACCGTCACAATCAGCTCCCCGTTGGCCCCTCGTGAGGGCACCGTCACAATCAGCACCCCGGCGTCCACTTGTGAGAGCACCGTCACAATCAGCACCCCGGCGTCCACTTGTGAGGGCACCGTCACAATCAGCACCCCGGCGTCCACTTGTGAGGGCACCGTCACAATCAGCACCCCGGCGTCCACTTGTGAGGGCACCGTCACAATCAGCACCCCGGCGTCCACTTGTGAGGGCACCGTCACAATCAGCACCCCGGCAGCCCCTCGTGAGGGCACCGTCACAATCAGCACCCCGGCGTCCACTTGTGAGGGCACCGTCACAATCAGCACCCCGGCGGCCCCTCATGAGGGTACCGCCGCAATCAGCACCCCGGCGGCCACTTGTGAGGGTACCGCCGCAATCAGCACCCCGGCGGCCACTTGTGAGGGCACCGTCACAGTCGGCCACGTATCGTTTCCGGTATTCACCGACAGTCGCGATCAGTGACGCTCAGTCATGGCCCGTTATGACCAACTTAGACCATTTACGGATGGCCACTGACAATCGCGACCAGTCGCGGCTAGTTACGGCCAGTCCCAGCGTGACAGGTCAGTCATGCACAGTCAGGGTCAGTCAAGGGCGTGACCGCCGCCGTAAAGCTGCACGAGACGAAACCGGCCGCTAGCGGGACGAGACCGGGCGCTAGCGGGACGAAACCGGCCGCTAGCGGGACGAGACCGGGCGCTAGCGGGACGAAACCGGACGCTAGCGGAACGAGACGGGACATTAGCGGATTGAGACCGGACACTAGCAGATTGAGATCAGCCACTAGCAGGAACTCGCTGTAGCACAACCGATCCAGGCGAGACGCGTTCAA